GGTTGCGCAGGCCGCGCAAAGGTGCGCGGGGAGCCGGGGGGAGTTGCACGGGCCGCGCAGAGGTGCGCGGGGGTAGGGCGGGCGGGTGTCCGCGCGGGGGGTGGCGCAAGGGCAGCACGTGCGCGCGCAGAGCTGCGCGGGGTCTCGTGCACGCGGGGCTGCGCGGAGCGGAGCYGCCCCGGGCGGCACCTGCGGCGSCTCCGCGGCCCCCCCGGGTCCCCTCGGGTATCCCCGGGCGCGGCGGGGGAGCCGCCGGGCAGCGAGGGAGCAGGGGACATTCTCGGTCTGCCCCGTGCTCGGAAAATGCGTTTTTTTCCAGTCACAAAGCAAAGGAGCAGCCCCCTGTGGCACCCGGGAGTCCCCGGCGCCCCACGGAGCGGCCCTGCTCCACTGCGGGTGCATCAGGAGTGGGGGGGCTGCAGGGAGAGCCCCCAGGAAGGGTCCTGTTTGGCCATGGGTGCAGCAGGATCTGGGCATCCACAAGGAAACCTCTGGAAAAGGGTCCCTCATGGTGCGGGGTGAGGCATTTTGTTGGGATTGGCGTCAGGAATATTCCTTCCCSGGAATGCCGGTGGGAGCGTCGCAGGTGCCCGCAATTGGCGCAGTGCCCCCAAATCCCGGACCGCCTCYGGGTCGGGAGGACAAGGCCAGTCACCCACCGCCCCCGCGGGGGGACTTGGACCCRTGTCTCCCAGCTCTGCTCCTTCCTTGGGGTTGCATCTGAACAAGCCCCTGTCCCAGCACCCGCTTTAGGGACACTCAGATTTTCCCATCTTGGGAAATCCCTTTCCTGTGGCTCCCTGTATTTTTATGTTTCCGCTCTTTGGGGTGACGCTGTCCGTCCCGGTGCGCAGGCTCTTCCCGGCGGATCGGCCGCACCAGGACGGTCCCGGCAGCTGCAGTGCCAGTGGTTAGGGGACAACAAAAGAGGTTTGTGCCTCCAGGGGAGAAATAAGAATGCAAATATCTCTGGCATGAAAAAACAAAGGAGTTTTCTCCTTGGTATTTCTTGTCAGTGCTCTGCATCTGCCCCTCTCTGTTTCACCTTCCCATTCTTCCCCTTTGCCCCTTTTTATGCTTTCTACTCCCCACAAGTGCGTTGAGACTTCGTAGAGGCTTTTGGGATGGACACTGGGTTATCCCGCTCGGGTTTATCCCGCTGTTCCTGCATGGACGATGTTCTGTGCAAAAGACCTAGCAGTAAGAGGGGTGAAAAAAACCTCTCCCGCCTGAGTACCTGGCAGAAATCCTAGCAAATCTGCAAAAATATGTTTTTGTCAGTGCTGCTTATTCTGGTAGGAGAGCTAGTCTAAGCTATTCCGGTAGGAAGCCTTTTTTTTTTCCTGGAATGAGCTCCTGCCTCTGTGCGCAGCATTGGGCAGGCGGCGTTCGCAGGAAGGCGGCTCTGCCGAGGGGCCCAGCGGGACCCGGGCAGGACTCGCACCCGCTGCCACCGCCGAGTTCCCGTCGGAAACAGAACCTGGGCATGGTTGTTTTGGACCCTGCGGGAGCCTGCTGGGCCAGGCAGATGCTTTTGGCTCCCGCTGCATCCCGTCTCCCTGCTTTTCCCGACCTGGGCTCTCCGTGGGTTGCTGGAGAGGTCCAGGCAGCTCGGAGGGGCCTGGGAGACTTCAAAGCGCAGCAGGTTCCTGGGCCGGGGCCGCCGCTTTGTTCTCCAGGCAGGCGTGAAAACGCCAAAGAATGTGAAAAATGTGACAATGAGGCGGCCAGCCCGAGATTTGTAAACTTCTGGTTAATGTGTAATAAAGGCCGAGTGCTGGGCAGGCGAGCGGGGCACGGGCAGCGGTGCCATCCGCGGTGCTTGGGCATCCTCCGGCCGCCCCAGCCTCCGGGCTTCTTGGCTTCGGCCTCTCTGCTTTGCCTGTGCTTGCCGACCTGTGTTATCTGCCTTTATCAAACCACACTTTCACCCGTGCTGACCGTTGAGCTGCTCCTCAGACTGGGGACTTTGTCCCGGGAATGGGCCCCGGCGTCCCGCCGGAGCACCGCGTGTCGGGGAGCTCGGGGGCGCTTCATCTGCGGGGCAAAGGAGGCCTTAATTGGGGTGTAATTGCACCTGGGGAGCTAACCCGGGCGCGATGCAGAGCGCTGCCTTTGCTCTCTGCCACCCGGGTGTTGGGCACCCAGGCCAGGAGCTATCGCAGCCGCCAGGTGGGTGCAGAGCCCCGGACCCCAAGCGGCTCGTTCGTAGTGACATGAAAAGCCGCAGAGGATGCGGTTTTGAGGTCTGCATCTCCGTGGGCTAGAGCTGAGCATCAGCACAGTTTTTCTCCCCCATTTCTGACCTGAAGCCCTTTTTGAGAGGAATATGCAAGGTGCCCGCGTGGCTTCAGTCCCCTCTGGGGTTGTGGAGCACAGTTCGAGCAGGAGGCGAATCTCTAAAAGCAGCCTGTGATATCAGGGAGGAATTGCTTTTATTTTATTTTATTTTATTTTATTTTATTTTATTTTATTTTATTTTATTTTATTTTATTTTATTTTATTTTATTTTATTTTATTTTATTTTATTTGTGGGAAAGCAAAGATACTTTAGCTCCGGTCAACCGTGTCCCCAAACCTAATCGAGGCTCCTCTTGCTGCTTGGCAGCTCGGAGGAGCTGTGGTTTTGTGGTCCAGGCAGAGCGTGGGCCCACGCAGCCGGTCCGGCCGCCCCGTCGAGCTCCACACGTGGAAGTTCATGAACTGAAGCTCAGGGCTACAAGTTGCTGAGCTGTGTTCCCAGTCACTGAGGTGCTGCGTGAAAAGTCCAGGAGCTGCCGGTCTGAGCTGCCGGCCTGAGCCCTTAAAATCTGAATAATGAAGCCTGTGATTAATTTGTTTTGCCAGCTACAAAATGATYGGCCTACAGATGGGGCTCATTGTATTTCCTCTCCTGCCTCCTTGTATCACACTATCGTTTTAAGCCAGTCGATTCCCTTATAGACTCCCCGCTCGGGTTTATCTGGGTCGCTCGGGCTGCCGTCCTGCCCGGCGGTGTTGACGACCCCTCCGAGCTGTGTCCTCAGCGGTGCATTCCTTCCCCAAGGTCGCCCATACACAACTGGAGGCATCTCTCACAACACCGGTCCTAGCTGGACGCCGCTGGCCCGCGCGCGTCGCCCCCGCCACGGGCTGCCCCGTCCCGGCACGCGGGGCGCCGCACCGGCACCGGGCTCCTTCCTACCGGCTTCTTTTAACAGAKCCAGGCAGATTTGCCTGCCTTTGGCCTTAATTTTCCCCTCAAGATCCTGTGCTTCCCTCCTGTGTCATTAGTCTCCAGGGTGTTCACCCTCTTGCTGCTGCCTTTGCAGCAACCCCTCTGGTTTGGAAGGCAGTGCAGCAGAGGGTTCAGCCCCATCAAGCCCAGCATTCCTGGGATTTGTGGCATTCCCTGTTTCCCGGGATTTCTGCCCTCTCACTGTGAGGAAGCRGCTTCTGCTGCTCCCCAGGGTGCGATTTGGTGCCTCTTCACCCCAGGGGTGAGAATGGGGCAGCGCAGGGAGGKCCAAATCAGAGCAAGGAGCTTGGGGAGCCAAGCGAGTTCCTTGCAAGTTGTGAAGACGCAGAGCAAGCCTGTGCACATTTCCCCCCTCTTGCAGATGTCAGCAGTTCTGCTTAACCTGGCGGGCTTGGGAGTGAGAGGCAGGAGCCCTGGAGCAGCGATGTTCCCAGGGCTGCTCAGAATACCCTTTGCAAAAGAGGAAGTCGGGCTGCTCTGCGTGAAGTGCCCAGAAGTTATGTGGCGATTGCAAGAAAGAGGCACTCGTCGTTTCCCTGCGTCGCGGCCGTTGAGCAATGCCGAGCCTGACAGCAGTGCAGCTTCAAAGGGAAAGTGTCGGCATCTGGATAAACCGTTCGTGCCCGTGCTGCACTGGAGGCCGAAAGAGCTGCCCCTTCAGGTGCTGATGGTGTCTTGTTTTTCCTGCACAGGATTCGTTGTAGCCCTCCCCGAAGGGCCGTCGGACACTAGGCGCCAGCACCTTGGTTATCCCTCGGAAGAGACGGACAGGCGTGGGAGCTGCCGTTGAGAGCGGTGCTCCCAGCTCCGTGTGGGAAGAGCCTCTTGTCCGAGGCCGTGGCCCCTGGGCTGCAGTGATCGGGAAGGGGCTGCTCGAGAAAACCAGCGCGCTCCCGGAGGAGAAAATACCGCCCAGGTTTACGTTCCCTTAGGTGTTTACCAGGAAAGAAGGGAGAGCTCGAGCAGAGCGGCGGGGGCTCCAAAGGGACCCGCGCCATGCGGGCCCGGTGGGCGGCCGCGCTGGCCCTGCTGGCGGCCGCGCTGGCCGGGCTGCCCCGTGGCCGTGCCCAGCGCCCCGCGGGCCCCGCGCCGCCCCGGCCCAGCTTCATCGTTATCCTGGCGGACGACCTGGGCTGGGGGGACGTGGGGGCCAACTGGCCGGCCACGAAGGACAYGCCGAATTTGGACGAGCTGGCGGAGCAGGGCACGAGGTGAGCGCCRGCCGCGGCGCGGGCGGGCGCCGTCCTGCGCCCCGTTACCACGGCCCCGTCCGCAGGTTCGTGGATTTCCACGCGGCCGCCTCCACGTGCTCGCCGTCCCGCGCCGCGCTGCTCACCGGGCGCCTGGGCGCCCGCAACGGCGTCACCCGCAACTTCGCCGCCTCCGCGCGCGGCAGCCTCCCCCTCAATGAGACCACGCTGGCCGAGGTCCTGCGCGCCGCCGGCTACAGCACGGCGGCTATAGGTAACCCTGGCCCTGCCCAGGCGCTTCCCAAGGGATGGGCGCCAGCGGGATGAAGCTGCCTGCTTGCAAGGGAACCGGCAGCGGGTGCGATGCTGAAGGAAGGAGAGACCCAACTCTCAGGTGGCAACTAATGATGGATTTAAAGGGTTGCCCCTGAGAGGTTTTTCTCTCTGTTTGCAATTGCACACATGCATAATTCATCAAAAAAAAAAAAAAAAAGAAGTAATTTTCAAGCAGAAAACACCGCCTGAAATTTGGGCCTGCTCCAGTTTTAAATTGAAGCACGCGTTGCATAACCTTGAGAATGAATGTGCTCCGTTTCGTCAGAAAGCATGACGGTGCAGAGCGGCGCTGTCCTCGCGCGCCCCGCGCCCGCCCTGCCGCGCTCGGGGCCGGCTTGGAGCGCGGCAGGGCCCGCGTCCGCGGGTGCTCGTGGCAGATAAGGGGCCGTCGGGTTGTCTTCCCATAGATAACGGGGCCGAGTGAATTCCCATTGCGACCAGCACATTGGGGGAAAGAGTTGTCTTGAGGAGTTGTCTTGAGGAGTTGTTGGGGAAAGGAGTTGGCCTTGGAGAGCATTGCCAAGAAGGGCTGCACAGGGAAAGGTTGCCCCACGCCAGGGCATTTCCCGTTTCCTTCTGCCTGGCTTTTTTTTGCTCTTCTCGCCCCGTATCCACGTTCTCAGCGTGAGCCAGGATCAGGACACTGTGTGTGCTGGAGCTGGGAGGATGAAGCCGGTTGTTTAGAACTGGTTGGAAAGTCCTCTCCTCCACCGCTAATGTGTGAAAGAGCCTTTTAAGGCTTCGGGCGGTTGGTTTGCTCAGACACAAGATACCTTCAGCATTTTTTTGTGGGTTTCTGCAAAGCTGCATTCTAGAAATCAGGCCAGCAAAAACAAGTAGCCTTTTTGTTGCTAGATTAAAACCTCCTGCGCTGTGGCCCGTGTGTAATCGCTGCGAACTGCAAAGTCCATAGCCAAGTTAATCTCTGAATTGAAAGGCTTTTTATGGCTTCTCCACAGGCAAATGGCACCTGGGACACCATGGCCGCTATCACCCCAGCTTCCGCGGTGAGGATTTCCCTTCTCTGAGCCGGTCCCAGGGCTCCTGGGGTGGTTTGTGGAGTGGGCTGGGTAATTTGTGGACTGGGGTGGAAAAGGGGGTATTCCCAGCATGGAAGGTAACACTGAGGGCTTCTCCTTTGTGGCTCCTGGTGGGGTGAACTAACCTGGGCTGCGGGGGGAAAAACGTCAGGGAGTGAAACGTGGGGTGACGATGGGCTGCCAGGAAGCTCCCCGGAGCAGGGCAGGTGTGTCCAGACCTGCTGGGCTGGAGGTGGCCTTGCAGCCRGGGCTGGAGCTCTGCTCCCCGTGTGCCAAAAGGCTCCGCAGCCCCAGCTGGGCAAGCGGAGTGGCCCGGCTCCTTCCAGCAGCCTCACCCGGCTCCCACGCCGCTCTGGACCTCAGGTTTCGACTATTACTTCGGGATCCCCTACAGCCACGACATGGGCTGCACGGACACCCCTGGCTGCAACCTGCCGCCGTGTCCCGCCTGCGCTCGCCTCGATGCAGCTCCCAGGTAGGGCTCCGTGCCGGGGGGGCCGAGAATACCTGCAGGCAGGTGTTTGCACAGCCCCTCCAGCCCCCAGAGCTCTTGGGGTTGGAAGGTGAAGGCTTCACTCCGGGCATTTGCTGTGGGCATCTGCTCTCCTCGCCTGGCTGTGTCGCATCCCTGCGAGCTGCTGGTGGCCACATTGCCCATGCTGGTACTAACGGGGTTGCGACTTCTCCTCGGCAGCCACATGAGAAGAGACTGTTACACGGAGGTGGCCCTTCCTCTCTTCGAGAACGTCACCATCGTCCAGCAGCCCGTCAACCTGAGCAGCCTGGCGGCGCTCTACGCGGAGAGAGCCTCGTGGTTCATCCGGCGAGCCCGGTAAGGAGCCCGCGCGCCCGGCCCGCGGCCGCTCGGTGCAGGAGCTCAGGGTGCAGGCATTGCTGGTAGGTCACTAACCCTGGCGAAACGGGGACTCTGGGGTGCTCCCGCTGAGCTGGAGAGYGGTGGGTGTTTCCTGCCGAGCCTGTTTCTTGTTTGCCCTGAGCTCTGCAGTATTTGAGGGCTGAGTTTGGCGGCTGGGTCCTAGCTGGCGGTGCTCAGGCTGTGGTGATGTTGGTGCTGCAGAGTTATTAGAGCAAAGCAGCTCCGTGCACGTGCATGGGGAACCCAGCGCTACGAAGCGCCGCGCTGGGGTGCTCCAGGTGAGCAGTTTTCCTCTAAGGATTCCCAGGGAGCAGATCTGTGCGGAGCAAATGTCAACAGGTCTGTTCTCGAGCCCGCTGTAAGAGGCAGCAGCCGCCTAGGATTTCATTGATGTTCTGCAGGATTACCCTCAGAGTGCTTTGACCTTCAATGCATCTCCTGTAAAGGGATCATGAGTGTTTATAAATACAATTTACTAGAAAGGTCAAAGCTTTTGATCTCTGTGTGTGCTGCCYGGTGTGGCGCCGTGCTCGTGCAGCGACGGGGAATTCAGTCGCAAGTGGTGTGAGATCCCAGGTGATGGGAGCAGAGCTCACGCTTGGCTCTCTCACTGTGTTGGACTGGGGAATAAACCAGAATCCCGGGTCGAAAAGATGCTACTGTCCATGGGAACGGCAGTTTCCTGCAAATGGTTATTTAGCTAACTGATTTGTGGGTGCAAAGGCATTTTTAGTGGTCTGGTGTTCTACAAAGGCTAGGACAGAGCTAGGAATTTGGGTTTCTGACTCTTATTCTGGTGTCTAATCTTCTCTTTTATTTATTTTCATGGTTCCAGAGTAGGCCTGGTAGAGTCATCAGATCTGGAACAGCCTTTGCTCTGTTCCTGCCTGTCCCAGAACGAGAAAAAATTGTGTCCCGATGAGCAGAACGGGCAGCTTTGTCCCTTCTCCTTGAAAGTTTCCCCGCTATGTGATGATGTGTGAGGCTTTTCTTTCCTTTTGCCAATGAGGTGGTGCTGGTTGCTGGTGGACACAAGAGAGTGCGCGCTGTGGTCTTGTAGGTGTAGGAGATATTGGGATGTTGCAGAGTGTGGAGCACAAAAAAGCCTTGAGGTGAAATGTAGGAATTAATTCACTAATGTGACTTCTCCTGCCTGGAGTAATCACTGCCTGGCTGTAGGACAATGTACATTTCTGCTTGTAAAATGGGACTGGACATTGGTTCCTCAGTCCTAGCTGCTCTGGGGAAATGTGAGCAGGACAAAATGTGTGGAGATCRTAACTGGGGCACTAGGACTTAACGTCCGTTTTCTCTGGGTCTTATAGGAAAATTAGGAATCTGGGCTTGAGTTTTCTAGAGGAATAAAACACCTTTTCTGAGCTGCGGAGATGAGAACCCTGGAATCTCTGCTGATGGGCTCCCTGTCATGTTTCATWATCCCTATTATTCGAGGATTAGGAGCTGTGGCTTTGCAAAATGCCTTTCTGCAGTGTGAAGAGGGGAAATGCTGCAGGGCAGCAACATCTGAACAGTTGTGGCCTGTTGGTTGCTGCTCTCCTTGCTAATGGCATTGTTAATGACCTTGTAAGAGGCAGTCCTGAACCTTTGATAAGTGATAAAAGGCATTAAAGATATAAATTCTTATATCTTTAAAGCCTGGGTATCATTTTGCTTGCAAATTTGCTTGCAAATTTACCCCCTCAGAAGCAAAAGAGGTGGCAGCTTCATGCAGTGGTTGTGCAGGCTGAACAGTGTGGTGGGCTTGGGGTCGACAAATGCATGCAACCACCTCGTTGCATTTGGGTGCTTGTCTGTTTGAATGCAATTTGTGCAAAATCCCTCCAGCCTGGCGAATGCGCTTTGTTAGACTTTGGAACCAAATGGGTGTGCTCTGGGTTAATAGAAAAATCTTTTAACCTCCTAATAGATATTTTGGGGTTATCTGCGTTTGCAGAGAACTGGATTAAACAGGTACCTGCTTTTTTGCTTGCTCTCTCTGATAGTGTATTTCAGTTTTACTTAGCCTGACTCACGCAGTGTGGGGCAACCAAAAGAACACTGGATTTGTCATCTCAGTGTTCTTTTAACTGGTCGTGTCAAGGTTGAGCAATTAGTGGCAGTGAGATTTGGCTCCCTCCAGAAGAACAACCCTTGGAGTGCAATAAACAGGAGAGCAAAGGCCAAGGGCATCTGTCTTGACTTATTGATTAGAAGTTTGCTGGGTTTTGGGGAGAAGGGCTGAGTTATGAAATGTGGATGCAGAAGGTCAGCAGGCGCCGTAGATGACTGAGCGGCGTGAGCCCCTCTGGATCTCCTGGATTGTTTTCCAGGAGTCTGGGGCYGGGCAGGTTGGATGGGACAAACCCTCTTGCTCCTGTCGGGCCCCGGGGCTCTGCTGGGCGGCGCACAGTGCCGACGCGAAGCAGAAAAACGCTCCCGGCTGCACAAGAGCTGCTAAGCACAGGCTTGAATTGGTGCGGTTGTGCAGATAAGAAGCCAGTCAGATGCTGAGCATTTTTGCATGATAAAGTGGTGAATGTTTGTGCCCTCCGAGCCGGGCTCATCCCCCTGGCTCTGCGGCTGGCAGGTCCTAGCCGAATCCCCTGCTGATGYGGGAACAAGGGAAGCTCTACGTTTGGGGAGCTCCAGGAGAAAGGAGCCAGTGGCCAGAGGTTGTCCTTTTGCAGCAGCAGCTCACGAGAAATGCGGTCAATTCCCCTGTTTCTCAAATTTCGTTGTTTTGCAGAAGCTGCAGCACCCGGCCGGGCGCCGATAGGGCCCAAAACCTCTTCTGGCTCCGGCCCTGCTCCACATAAAGAGGCCATTCAGGCAGGGATGAGATTTATTAAATGGTGATGCCGAGGTGGGTGACATMTGTGCGGCAGAGGAAGGAAGTGAGGGCCACGGGCTGTAAACAGCCCTTGGAGAGAGCAGGGAAGCATCTTAATTTCTGCCGGAGCRGGACAGCGAGGTGGCCGCGCGCGGGGCCGGGCACGGACACGGCCGGCTCGCCGGGAGCTGCTCCCTCCCCGCCGCTGGTCATCCCACCCTTCCCTTCGGAGGTCCCTGAGGAAGAGCGGGCCTCGTCGCAGGCGATAAATATAGCCGTAAACAAGAAAACAGGACGTGTCTGCGGGCGGGCTGCGAGCGCCGGCCACGGCCCAGCGGCCTCGTGCTGCGGACGTGCCGCCTCCGAGGCCGCGCTCGGGGCCTTCGGCCTCCTCCTCCTCCTCTGCTCACGGAGCTCACCGGGGAGCGGGAAGGAGGGAAACGGGAGCCGAGCGGAGCAAGGAAGGGGGTTGCCGGGGTCCTGCCGGTGCCCGGCAGCCCCTCGCGGATGTGGGTTGGCCGAGGAAGCCCCGGCAAGGCGAGGAGGAAGAGGGAGGAAAGTCAATACCAGCRGGAAGCAGGGAAAAAGTGACTCACGGCCGGGAAGGGCCGCGGGGAGCGYTGGGCTCGGAAAGCCGCCGTCGCTCCGTCCGCCCCACGTGCCGCCGTTGCCTCTGCTTCCCCCGCAGACGCCCCTTCCTCCTCTAYGTGGCCCTGGCCCACGTGCACGTGCCGCTGGCCGCCCCCTGTGGCGGCCGCCCGCGCCGCGGCGCCTACGCCGCCGCCCTCAGGGACATGGACGCGCTCGTGGGGAGCCTCAAGCGTGCGGCCGACGGCGCCGCCGACGGCGCCACGCTGCTCTGGTTCGCAGGTAATGCGGCGAGGCCGAGCTCGCCATCCCCATCCCCATCCGTGGGGATTTTCCCCCGGCAGAGCCGCGGTCCCCGAGGGGACCGGCCCTGYTCCCCGGAGCTGCTTGTCCCCTGGTTGCCCGCCTCGAGCCGCTTGTTTTCCGCCGGCCGTGGGCTGAAGCCGGACGGCTGCCTCTTAATGAGGCCTCAAATCCCCGTTAATTGAACAGCCCAAATCCACTCTCGCCCAGAAGCCTCCCTAATGAGGCCGGCTTGCTCTGCCATGACGGGTGACAGGAACTGCCCGGGGGCTCATTAGAGCCCGCGGCTCCCATTGCAGATCCGGGCACGCAGGGAGCTTGGGCTGCCTTGCAGAGATGGGGCCGTTTTGCCTGGGAATCAACGTTTCTTGCCAGCAGCYGGCAGGCCCTGCTCCCGCTGCCGTGGGCCATGGAGAGGAGGATATCGGGGGGCACAGCTCTTTGGGCAGGGCACAATAATTCCCCAAAACGCAGGATGGAGGGTGCCCCAGGTCCCACTTTGACCCTCAGAGAGCRTGGGGTGTCCCCGGGGCTTCCATCAGCCCGTCCGTGTCACCCACGGGGACGTTTTTCTCTTGCAGGTGACAACGGGCCCTGGGCACAGAAGTGCGAGCTGGCCGGAGACGTGGGGCCCTTCGTCGGCGCGTGGCAGCGCCCGCGAGGTAACAGGGCCTCCCTGCGGGGCCCATTTCTCCTCTCCGGGACAGGCGTGCTGCTCTCGAGGGTTTTCCCAGAGCCCAGAGCGGCCGCGGGGCTGCCATGTGGCTGCCCAGCACAGAATCACAGAATATTCCAGGTTGGAAGGGACCTCTAGAGATCATCTAGTCCAACCTTCCTGCTCAAGCAGGGACACCTGGAGCATGTGGCACAGGGCGCAGCCCAGGTCCCTGCACAAGTGTGCCCAGTGTGCCCAGCTCCAGCAGGACCTCGTGTGCCCCATGCATTGAGCTGCTAGCATCCCGAGCCCGCTCCACAGAGAAAGCCCCAGTGAGCCCCGGAGCTTCGCGGGACTTTTATTTGCTTTCTCTCCAGCGTTTTTTTTTTTTCCTTCTCCTTTTCCGGCCAAGCCATCTGCTTGGTGGGTTTATTTCAGCCCGAGCGGCCAGAAGCCCGCATGAGTCAGGCGTTTCCCACTTCTGCTTGTATTACGCACTGTCCGTGCGTGCCGGGTCCCGTTTCCCCGCTCGCTCTGGGTCAGCCGTGGCGGTGGAGGCCGCGGCGGCGGAGGCCGCGCGTCTCTTTCCCCCTCTGCTTCCTGACAGGCAGCGGCGAGAGGAAGCGGGGCCGGCTCCCGGCGCAGACCCYGCGGCGGGCTGGGCGGATGCCCTTGCTCTTCTCCCTTTCCGCTTCCCCGGGGTACATTTCGTTGGGGTGTCCTGGCCTCGGGAAGACATCGGAGCCTTCAGTTTTTTAGCAACACTGAGTTTTTCAGTAAACAAACAAATCCTGCCGCTGACCTGGGCTGCTCTTGAGCAACCGATGGTCACAAGTCAGAGTATCTGGTACAGGCAGTGCAGCGTGCGGGAACAGAGCTGCAAAAACACAAACCCCTTCCAGCATCTTGCTGCCCACATGCAGCCCTGCGAAAACAACCCTGAATATCACGTAAGGTTAGGAAGTAGATCAAGTTGTCAGGTTTCTAGGAGCTGGCTGTAAATAGCAGCTGGGAACAATGATTTCTGAAATCCCACAGCTTGTTGCTGCACAGATATTTTGAAAGCAGAAAAACATATCTGGGACYATAATAGCTGCGCGTTACTGTCAGCCGCTGGCTGATCTGTATCTAATGCTGCAAACTCCCGTGACCCTGCGAGCTGTTTCTTTAGCACGGCACCGTGCAGAACTTGTTTTACGTAACCTGTTGGGTAACCCTGCCTATCCCTTGAGCGCCCCAGCACCTTCCACCTTCGTGTGCTGGYGGGAGCGCTGCGGATCCGCGATACCCCAGCCCTGCCGTGACTTCCAGCGGGAATGGGTTCGGTGCTGCCGAACGGCATTCCTGCAGGGGAAGGGATTTTTAGGGAAGGGGAGGAGGTGGGTGGAGGATCACTCGGGAGCATATACATTTCRCATAGTTCGGTGTTTCCTTTCAGGGTCCAACTCAAATTCCAGGCGTGTTTTCCATTGATTTACGTGGTCACGGATTAGGGGATTGGGAGAACGGCAAGTCCGTGTGCTTGGCTTCGCCCCGCTCCTGTCCGAGGAGGCAGCGATGGGCAGGGGCTGTTGGGACCCTGGTGCTGTGAGAGGCGCCTCTGGGCTCGCCTCCYGCTCCGGGGCTGGCTGGAGGACAGGGCTGTGGCAGATGGGGGACCGGGGATGCGGTGGCTTTCTTCCTTCACCGGGAATGCTCAATTCTGCCTTTCCTGGAAAGCCGTGGCTTCCATCAGTCTCTGTCACTGCGGGATTGCATCACCGCTGGTCTTGAGAAAATCCCTGGTTTGGTCTGGGGCATTTCAGCACTGTTTACTGCTGGAAGTGCTAACGTTGGCTTGTCCAGGGCAGCTCTGGCTGCTGTGTTTCTCCAGACACTCAGTCCAGACCAGTCAGCACCCGTCGACACTCTGCTTGTGAGGGGCTGCTGCCTAAAGCTCTTGCTGACCTGTCCTTTAGATGTTGCTGAGCTCCCGTGCGGGGTGTGCACTGTTAAAACGCTGTACTCAACATTGCTTCTTGCAGCATCTACAAACAGGAGTGGCCCCTTCAGTCACACGTGGYGCACGTTGGAGCGCTGCTCATCTTCCCAGTAGCTGCAAGGGATCCGGGTGCAGACTGTGTCCCTCCCGGCTCCAAAGGCAGGAATTCCAGAGGTTTGGGTGGGAAAAGGGAGAGGGGGGAACGCGGCTTGTCTGAGCCATCAGGATGAATGGTGTCCCCRTGTTCTGCATGGTGTCACTGTCACAGCGGTGTCCGCCCTAGGGACACTCACACCCGTGTTTTCTTTTCCCCTAGCAGCGTAAGCCCAGCTGCATCATTCTGAGAAGGCAGCATCGTCCCAAATAAGTGTAAAATGAGCCGTGACTCACTGTGACTCCCGGAGAGGCTCGGACGGGATGGGGAGTTCCATAGAAACCGCACATGCACTCCCAGGCCAGGGCCGGCTTCAAAGCTTGTTGTGCAGCAGAAAGAACATCTCCTTTCTCTTGGCTCTGCCTGGAGGAAATGGCTTTGGATTAACGCTGTTGCCATGTGCACGCCTGAAAGCAGGGCAAACAAAAGGAAACGGCCTCAAGCTTGGGAAGGCTTTTGGTGAACGGGTTGAGACTTTCTCTTTGTCCCCTGCCCTGCTCTCCCTTCCCCGGCTGCTCTTGGGGCTCTTGGTGCTGCAGCAAGAGCCGCGTTTCTGCAGTGCCCCTGTGGCCACGTCCTGCTGCTCCAGGCCCATGCTTTGGCCCTGGGATCCTGGCTGGGAAGAGGGATGGATGGGGTGATTTTCCTGCGTGGAGAGGGATGGGGTGACTTCCCTGCAAGCTGCAGAGCTGCTTGGGTCTCCACACAGCGGTAGCAGCACAGGGGCCTTCAGGCTGTGCTGGGCAAGCAACGAAAGGGTTAATTCAACAACAGTAGCGTTATCAGAAGGAATGTGTTTTTAATGGAGCCGTTTTCGTGGCTTGCAGGGGACCCCCTTAACTTTCCTCTCCCGTGTGACCCAGCCCCATCTCGCGGGTGCACGGGGCCAGGCGGGGGGCACTGAGCGCGGCCTCCGTGTCTTGCAGGTGGGAGCTCCGCAAAGCAGACCACGTGGGAAGGAGGCCACCGGGTGCCGGCGCTCGCGTACTGGCCCGGCCGCGTCCCCGCCAACCGGAGCAGCGCCGCGCTGCTGAGGTAGGGACAAGGACACCTTGCCGTGGTCCACGCCATGGGTGAGCACTCGCTGCCGCTGTGTGCGGYTCTGCTTGCCTTGGCACCGCGTCCGGGGCCCTGTGACGAAGCCAGGAGGACGAATGCCCCCGCCTTGCAAGGACACGCTGTCACCAGGCAGGTGATGAGCTCCGGGAACCGGCTGCTTCACTTAATTCTGGCAGTGGTGGCCYGTGTTCGTTCCTGAGTGCCTTGTGTAAGACCTCGCTTCGCCCGTGAGCCTTTAATGCCTCAGCAAAGCGTTGCTGCCAGCTTGTTCCGTGGGGCTGGGCGGGAGGCATCTGTGTCCCGGTAATTAGCAGATGATGCTGTCCTCGCTCGGCACCGCGGAGCGGGCTCAGGCTTTGTGGTTTGCAGGCGGCTTCGTGTGGAGGCGACTGCGGTGGTGGGAAGGGGCTGGYCGCAGAGATGGGGTTTGCAGGGAGCTCAGGATGCGGCCAGGCTCAGGGGTGGCTCTGGCAGCCCCTGCGGGGGGTTTCGGGCAGAGCGGAGGAAGGCARTGTTGTCATCTCCTGCTCCTCGCCTGTGCGGCACAGTTGGGCTGCAGGGATCTGCAGGGAGCCCCAGCTCAGCAGCCCCTTGCAGCCGCCTGCCTCTTCCTCATCCTCTTCCTCCTCCTCGCTGCATGGCGCGAACCCAACCAGGCTTTTGGCTCACGTGGTCCCTCACTTTTCCAAAGCGAGCAGATCCCGGCCAAGCGCTGGCRGTTCAGGTTGGTGCTGCCACGTTGGCTGCCCCAGGCCTTGCCCTCCCCTGCTCCGTGCGTTTCACCCTTGCGTCCCCAGGGCCGGCATGTTTCACCCGACTCTCCCTCTCGGAGCGGGGCTCGCTCTGCAAAACGGAGGCCTTTTGGTGCAAGGGAGATTGCCCTACACCGAGCAGCTCCCGTGGGCTCAGCCTGCGCCCCAGGCAGCGCGGAGCATCGGGACGGCTCAGCCCACCCTGAAACRGCTGCATTCCCACGTCCCGGAGCTGGTCCGGCAGGCTGGGCAGCCATGGAGGAACACGGGACATGGGCCCACGGCCACACATGGAAACGGGGATAGCCCCGCGGSGGCGGCCAGGCCCGTCTCCGTCCCGCTCGCCTCTCGGCTCTGACGGGGCCGCTGCTGGGACGTGTCACCCTGCTCGGCTGCCGCCCCAAGCGSCGGTGGTTCTGAGCGCGCCGGCCCAGCTGGGCCGCGGTGCCCGGGGGGATGCGTCTGCCACGTGGAAATTCAAAGTCAACAAACCCCGAGGAGGTTTCGTAAAGTTCAAGCGTGTGACACAGGCCAACAAAAGGCAGGAAATTGCCAGCGCGGAGCTGGCAGCGTCGGCCTCGCCGTGTCCCATCCGAATCCAGGTGTGACGTAAGCAGTGGCACAGGATGCGCGCGGCTGGACCCGCGGCTCCTCCGGGATGCGGCTCCTCCGGGATGCGGCTCCCCCGGGATGCAGCTCTGTGCACTGCTGCCCTGGCAATGGTCTGGGTTTGCTTCCCCAAACCCCTCCAACCCGAGCCCCGCTTTCCCTTGCAGATACCGTCCTCCCTATCCCCGCGATCCCAACATCCCCGTGGCCTCCAGGGCGCCCAAGGGGCAGATCCGTGGAGCCGGTTCATGCCAGGCCTGGTGCTGCTCTGTTTTGCGGCTTTTTCCCGCGCAGGGAGCGGGGCTGAAGCGGGTGAGCGCGGCCGGRGCAGCCGCCACCAGCACGAGCGCTGCCGCCCGGCCGCGTCCGCTCTCCTTCGTGACGCTCCGTCGCCAGAGCCTCCCGCGGCGTCGTGCCCCACGGCGGAGACAAGGAGGGCACTGAAGAAATAGGTCAGTGGGGTGGTGAATAAGGAAGCGCTCGCGGCAGGCGGCCGTGCGCGGAGCGGCCCGCGCGGGCATCGCGGCCGGCAGCTCTCCGTGCCCGGCATCGCTTCCCTGCTCCTCCCTTTGAGGTTTCCCGCCTCGGACGGGCACGGAGCCGCCCGCCAGGCCCCGGCTGCTTCTCTTTTTGCGTCGCTTTTCAGAGGCTGYAGGAAGCTGGAGCTGCTTCGTTTGCTGAGAGAGCTCTTGGCTGCGGCTGTTGGGTTGGCACGGGCAGTTCCACRGCTTTTCTTCTGGGATCTGGGTGCTTGAAGGGCCTCTGCTTTGACGGGCACCTTGACAAAAGTCTATTTGTGGCTCTGCGTGGGGCAACCCTGCACTCAGCTGGGAAGATTTTTAGCTCCCTTGGCCCCCAGTCATCCATTATGTTGTCCCTAGACTTCCCAGAGATCTCACGTGTCCCCTGTCCCAACCCTTGGTCTGGTCCAAAAAAAAGGTCTTGGCCCAGGATTTGCTCTGTGTCCTGCTGTCCATGTGCTAGGACAAAAAGGGCAGAAGGGACAACTGGCTTAGMCAGTCTCCAGGTGATGTTCTGGATAGTCCATCGGGAGGTGACACGGGCACGAGGTGCTGGTCCAAGAAGCCCAGTCAGCTGCAATGTTGTAGCTTTGGTCTGGGTCTTTCCAGGATTCCCACCCTTCCCCAGGCTGAGATGACCTCTAGTTGGAGCAGCATCACCTTTTCCTTTCATGCTGGCTCATGATCTGTCATGTTTGATGTCTCAGAAGTTTCCTCTTGGATTGCTCAGCCCTTCCCGCTGGTCTCACCAGCGTGTCCCGGGGGAGCAGCTCCGAAAGGGCTCCTGTGTCCAGCGCAGGGATCCGGTGCGCGTAGGGAGGGCTCGTTCGGTGCTGCGTGACACACGGGTCACTTGTGGCTGCGGGGGAGTCATCCTGTCCCCGTCATCCCCTCGGCTCCGCTCCCTTTGCTCGTGTTTGTTCTGCGCGGCTCTTAGCAGCTGGATTAAACCCCACTGAATGGCAGGAACAGGGGCGCTCAAGCCCTGGGCTGCTTCTGCTCTCTGCTCACGCAAGCGAGTTTGCAGAGAGCGGCGAGCAGAGAGGGGCCTGGCGGGCAAGGATGCGCGTGAGCGAAATTCCTGCCGCGCTCCCGCGTCACGGGGATCCCTCACACCAGGGCTCGGGCCCGGAGAGCAGCCGCTCGCGGGCTCGGATGGCATCTCCCGCCGCCGCGACCCCCGAGCCGCGTTCAGCGCCCGGACCGGGGCTTCCGCTGGGAATGCTGACCGGCATTCCGGTGTAGGTGCGCACAACAGCCCCGCGCGCTGCGCCGTGCAGAAGTGAGGCCGCGTTTCCTAGGGCTGCGGGACCTGGGCCGAGAGCCCCCCGTGGCCGCACAGTGCTGTGTGCCTGGGCACGCGGCGCCTCTGCTGCTCCCTGTGCCGTGCCCGGGACACGTGGAGCACCGGCCGCTCCGGGAATCGGGATGGCCGGCCCGTCTCGGAGCTGCGTCCAAGCTGCAGCACGGAGAGGAGCTGTGGGAAGCAACGGGGTGGTTGGTGGCACYGTGGCGGCTCCCGGCCTGGAGGGCGGCTTTTCCAGGGTGCTCCATGCATTGCACTGATGAAACCTGTCTCTTCCCTGCAGCACTATGGACATTTTCCCCACGCTGGTGGCCCTGGCTGGAGCTGAGCTTCCTCCCAACAGGCGCTTCGATGGCTTGGACGTGTCCCCGGTTCTCTTTGGGCGCTCGGACACGGGCCACAAGGTGAGGCAGCGTCACCGCACGGAGGCCGGTAGYGTTTGGCCTCCTCTCCTGCTGCAGCAGATCCTCTTCCCGACCTTGCCGGGTCCTGCCTTCCCACAGCATGGGGACTGTCTGGAGGGAGGGCGGGCGCCGGCCCCGCTGCGGAGCGGCGCTTTGGAGCGGCCGGCACGGCGGGAAGCGCTGGCTGAGGCAGATAAGGCAGGCGAAGGCGAGGGGGGAGCAGGGGGGCTGGCGGCGCTCGGACCCGCAGGAGGGTCTCCGTGCTCAGCCCATGCGGCCGGAGTGGGCGCCGGGACCGCGGCTGCTGGGGCTCCTGGGGGCCGTAAAAGGCCAGTGCGTTAGCCAAGAGTTATCTGCGAGCAGAAATGCTTTGTTGGTACATGTGGGATTAMGTGTCCAGCAGCAGCGGGGGGATGAGCTGAGCCTGGCGGGCGCTGTGCATCCCTTCCCCTCTCGCCGCTCCAAGCAGCCCCGTGGGGAGCAGCCCGGGCGCTGTGGCCTTTCCCTTGGCTCATCCCGAAAGGGACACGGTTGTCCGAGCCGCTCCCGGGCGTGTGCACCTGGCTGCCTAACTGGTAGTTATCTGGACAGCTAGAGACACAGCTCGGGCCTCGCTCCCGGCCGTCCTTGCCTCGGTGCCGGCCCCGTCGCTGATGTCCGAGCGGGGCAGACAGTCCAGCGTCCCGCAGCTTTCTGCCCCTACAGCAACAGGAGCTGCTGACAGCTCCTCTGAGCATAAAAAAAGCAGCGAGCAGAGCAAGCAGCGGGGCGAGCGCTTTGCTCCGAGTTGCACAAGACTTTTGCTGAGCAAAACCAGTGGCTTTCAGGGCGATGCCGCGGATGAAGGCTCCTGGCGCCCCTCAAATCCCTCCTCYTGCCAGCGCCACCAGCCAGCTCCGTGCTGGGCTCTTGCACCCGCTCTCTGCATCCATCGGGGCTTTTGCCATTTAGTTCCTATTTATGGAGCTTTCTGCTGAGCTGTGAGAGAAGCTGCGGGAGCGGCTGGGCAGTGGGCGCTCGGCTGCCCTCGCCATGGGCTGGCTCCTGATAGGAGCCCGTGGGCAAGAGCAGTTTGCTGGGAGATGCCTCTGCTGGCCTAAGTGTGTGGCCTGGGGAAGGGAAAGGGGCAGCACACATACCGGGAAAGGGAAGTAAAGCTGGGATTTGCAGCAGTGTTCCCAGTGTGTTGCAGCAGCGTGCAGTGACATGCGGCAGTGTGCAGCAGCGTGTAGCAGTGTGCAGTGATGTGCAGCAATGTGCAGCAGTGTGTAGCAATGTACAGTGACATGCAGCAGTGTGCAACAGCGTGTAGCAGTGTGCCGCAACGTGAAGGGACATGCAGCAGCGTGTAGCAGCATGCAGCAACATGCAGCAGCACGTAGTGATGTGCAGCGACATGCAGCAGCATGCAGGGACATGCAGTAGTGTGCAGCAAAATGCAGCAGCATGCAGTGATGTACAGGGACATGCAGCAGCGTGCAGCAGCATGCAGTGATTTACAGGGGCATGCAGCAGCATGCAGTGATGTGCAGGGACATGCAGCAGCGTGCAGCAACATGCAGCAGCATGCAGTGATGTACAGGGACGTGCAGCAGCATGCAGCAAAATGCAGCAGCATGCAGTGATGTACAGGGACRTGCAGCAGCGTGCAGCAGTGTGCAGCAGCATGCAGTGATGTACAGGGGCATGCAGCAGCATGCAGCAGCATGCAGTGATGTGCAGCAGCATGCAGCAACATGCAGTGATGTGCAGCAGCATGCAGCAACATGCAGTGATGTGCAGGGACGTGCAGCAGTGTGCAGCAGCATGCAGCAGCATGCAGTGATGTACAGGGACGTGCAGCAGC